ACATACATACATACATACATACATACATACATACATACATACATACAAAGTTTTTTTTAGACTACATATTTTTATACCTCTGAGATTTCAGGAATTATGGACCTAAAAGATTACATTGATATGCAAGTCAGGAGGGAAGAGTAGCATAACTTTCTTTTTGCTCCTGTCTATGTGTGTCTCACACAACAATAATGACAGTAACTGTGTTTGGTGTTTGGTTACTATACAATGACTGAGCTAATTGGCCGTGTTATCATTATCGACATCAATTACTGCTCTGAGATTCATCATTGTAAAACTTGTTTTGTGTGAGTTATGGAAACACCCTCACTTATTTCCTTCCCCGATAATCATAAACGTGCCAATATTTGCCCGCAGCATTTGTAATTCAATGATTCAAATGGCTATTAAAAAGGAGAAGTGTCCTGCATTTGAAATGAAATACTTTCTGCATTTGAAACTTCAAGGTTTCACATTTTCCTGGCAGGTGATTTTACATTTTTACTTTCGACACAGCTGGCTGTTATTTGTCCAACCAAAGAAAGATCTGCACTAGTCGCTATGGTGACAATGTATTGTGTGATTATACTTACTCGGCCTCTGCCTGAAGCCAAATGGGCGGTGAACTGTGTGTGCGTGTGAATGCAGACCAGAGGGTGGGGCTTGACTCCTCACTGTGCAGCTTTTCTTTATATAATGTAAACAGCGGTTGGTAGGGCTGGGAGATGACCTAGTTGCAAAAGTATAGAGTTTGCAGGCAGGAGGCAGAGAAAGCAGAAAAGCCATTATGATTTGTAATGATGAAGGTGATCAACAGGAGAGTTTGATTGACATCAGCAGATGGTTAGAATGTGTTCCCTCTCACTGCAAGTTAAGAAGCAATCCTTCATTTTCTATATAACCATACCATCTTTACAGCTGGACACTGTTTTCCGTCCATTCGGTGAGGCCGAGTAGACTTGTGATTTGTTTGTGTAAAAAACCCAATTAAAAATTCAGCTGCTGCTCAAAAAAGGTTGCAATCACTTCTTGCTCATGTTTTGGGTTTTTGGTTTTACTAGTTAATTTTACTGACTGTTCTCACCAAACCTGCCGTTGATTCAGTGGAAGTTATGAAAGCTTACTGGCGCTTACTTCTGCGTTGTATGCAGCTTGCTGGTGGGCAAAGGGTATCTGTCCAGCCACTATATTCTTACTTAATAAGCTGGAAATCCAGTTTGTAAAAAGTGATGTGATTAACACATATTTGTTGGATGAACGGACACATGATTGTATAGAGTGGAAGGATACTCAAGTAGTTGCGAAATAAAGATATAGTTAAGTCATTTTTATATTAAAATTATTTACATTGTCAAGCAACAGCAGCCTCTTGATTATCAGTAGGTTTTTGCCATTGCTTGGGAAAGCAAAAATTCCTTTGAAAATGTATGTCAGTGGTTTTTAGTGACAGTGCTGCCATAGGTAACAATGCAAAGCTTATGGTTGGCTATCCTTGTGGAGCATGTAAATGCACCACTAGGGAATGGGTCAGAGCCTCTATTTATAGACTCATATTTCTCTGACTAAGCTAACTGACTGTGAGACGGCTCCTTTTGTTATGCTAGGGACACATAAATCATGTAGTAAAAAGGAGAACATTTTGGGGGGAAGTTTCTAAAATCTCAAATGTAATCTTGTAAAATGATAATGGATGGATGGATGGTAATCTTGTAAAATGATTAAAAGGGACTTTTTATAGAGGGAAGTTCTTACTAAGAAAGTATATCTGATAATGGAGTAAAATATGAAATGCTTTGAGTTATATCGGATAAGCTAAACAGTTTGATTGTGTAATTCAGTAAATTTTTTATTCATAGGAAAAAGATGTTATGAATAGGTTTCCATGTCTCCATCTCAGTCATGATTAATGGTGAGGGAGTATCACACAGCCTTCCTGCACAGTCTTATTTGACTACTTTCTCTCATGGCATGATGTTTGGTTGACAGGCAACCATATATGCTCAAACCTATGGTTAATTTAAAATTGGAAGCCTACCTAACCTGCATGTTTTTTGATGTTGGGAAGAAGCCAGTGTACACAGAGAGAGCCCATCAATACACAAAGAAAACATCCAGGAGCAATCTCACTGTGAGGTGACAGTGCTAACCGCTGCAACCATTTCAAATAAATAAGCATCCAAAGCATCCAAATGTTTTAAAAATAAAAAAACACATTTTTTTTAAGAGGTTTGTAGTGAGTGGCACTTGGTGGTGAATGGGTGACTGGAAGAGGAGTGGCTTAAAAGAATGATGTCAAGGCTTTTCGGTTGAGTTGTTCAGTTGGGAATATTTAGTTCACCTCATTACAGACAACATTTCAGCAGAATAAGTTTATAGCCAAGCCAAAAAGAAAAGTTCTAAAAGAGAAAAGGAAGGAAAAAATTAATTATTAAGTTGTGCTTTTAGTTGTCAGATAGATTAACATCATTACAAATATTCAACATGCTCATTTTGAAAGTACCAACAGCTAAACTGACCTTCTTGGAACTGGAATTTGTCATTCTAAGATTAAATTAAATGAATGATTTATTTACCTGGGTTGGTGCTGGGATTTGAGCAATGAACTGGAGTTGTTTTGCTGAAGTAAGAAGCAGACTGAGTGCTGGTTGAAACAGATCTTTTAAAAATAGATATCTTAAGAATTGTATTACTGGCTATTTTAAGGTAAGTGTGTGTGTGTGTGCGTGTGTGTGTGTGCGTGTGTCTGTCAAGAGTGATGTTTTATGACTTCAGCTGTGAATTTTCACAGGAAAGGATGAAAGGAACCAGAATGAAGGAGGAGGAAACAGGATGAACACAGGAAGGAAGGAGCTGGGCAGGCCTGGGTAAAAGAGAAAACCAAACCATGTGAATAGAGAAAAAAGTGGGTGGGAAAGGATGGAGAGAAGTACAAAGAGACAGAAAAAACACTGCAAACAAAACTGAGCATTTTTTTCTTTCGCTTTTTTTTTTACCCATTTCAATGTATCGTATTTATGAAAATAGACACTGTCTTGTCAGAAAGAATATATATATATATATGTACATTCAAATTAAGTTGGTCCAGAATAGGATGTTTTTATTTATTCTGAGACAGTTTGAACACAAAACCTGTTGGATTAACCCTGCCATGTTTTCTTATTATATAGTCCATAATAACTGGTTCAAATTAAATTAAATGATTATTTTTCAGTACCTAATAATATTTGCATTTCTGTAAGAGTTTGTTTAAAAACAAATGTATCACAAATATGGGATGATGTGTAAACAATAATATGAGCACCATTATAATTATGTACATTATATTTCCCAAGACATGGTCCAACATTCCTGACTTTAATAAATCAAAATTTTCTTGTCCAAGTTCAGATTATTCCGATTATTTTTCAGACACAGGGAAAATAAATCTGTAGTTTACATAATTATTACTGTGTTTTTCACAAGTTCAAATTAAACTTTGCAACCTACTGTAAAAACAGACACACCTATAGTTCTAAGACAGAACTATAGGTCGTATCCAGTCTCTTGCGTTCAAAACGCAAACATGCCAGATAACGTCTTTGCGTGACGTACGCATGCGCACTGCCGGTAAAGGAAGGAAGCAACATGTCGATAGAAGACCCATTTTTCGTTGTGAAAGGGTAAGAAGAAATGTTATTTAAACGTAAATGTTCGTTGTATCTTCTTTAGTTGCGTTTCAAATGTTTAACCACACGTGATTATTAGTTTTTTGGCTTATGAAACAATAGTTAAATTAGTTAAGTTAGCTCAGCAGCTAGCTCCTGCTAACTAGCAGCAGTGCTTTGGTGTCAGTGGCGTAGAGGTGCTATATATATGTTTGGAAAGACATAAAGGAACTTTTTATTCACGAGAAATCCCATATACCATCTAGTTTTATCTGTCTTCTAATGAGAACTTGGTGTCCTTTGGGAATATCTTTTGAGGAAATGTACAAGACGCGGTGAAGTTAGATGTTTTGATTTAGAGAGGGGTGTAGCTTCCGAGTACTCTCGGCAAAACGGCAACGTTTCTGAAGGTTAATAAAAAAGGGAAAGCTAATTTCATGTTGATGAAGATCATTTTTATGTTTATTGTTTTTTTGTTTGTTTTAGAGAAGTGCAGAAAGCCCTCTCTCGTGCTCGAGGCCTGTTTGATAGGTGGGAGGAACTATTGCAGGATGGGACGCAGGTGAGACTGATAAGCATGGTAATTGTTTTCCAGCCTCATATAACATAATAAAGGATATGTCCAAAATGGGTAGGAATGCTCCATTCCTGTCTGTTTCCATTGTGGATTTTATATGATTTACTTTCAAAGGTTTGTAAAAGTACAACCTCTAAAACGTACTCAATGACATAAAGATAAACCTAGATACAAACTTTGACCTTACAGATTCTAATGTCTGTCTGTATTATCTTTAGAATTGAAGCAAAGCTCATTTTGAATACCACCATTAAACTTAAATAGGCTATATGAATTTGATGACCCAATTTGCAGCTGTTTTTTTGAAGAGTGTTTGTTGATTTCTTTTGCTTTAGGTGAGTCGAGATGAACTTGACTGGAGTGCCAATGAACTGCGAAACTGTCTGAGAGCTATAGATTGGGACCTGGAGGACCTCAGTGAAACCATCAGTATCTTTTAAAACAAACAAATGTTAACCTCAGCCCATATTGTCATATATACATCAGTATGTTTACAACAATTTTTTTTCTCACTCTCTTTTCATGGGTTTTTTTCCATCTTAATTTCTGACTTGATGAAGGCAAATATGAAGATCTTAGTGAGTAAACACAATGTAGACTAAGTTGCTCTAAAACTGAAGTTTTATTTTACATGCACCAAATCCATGTTTCTTTTCCATTCCCAGCTTAAAAAAAAATCTTAGTGAGTGCTTGAATAGATTTTTTTACAGTCTGGTTGATCCTTGACTGATTCAGGCATTGTGGAGTCGAACCCAGGGAAGTTCCGACTGGGTGACAATGAACTTCAGGAGAGGAGAGACTTTGTCGAGCGAACCAGGAAGTCTGTTCAGGTGAACTACACAAATTGGATCGTTTTAATCTCTCCAGCCACATGAATCATGACTTCAAATCCTGTTGTCTTTTCATGCTGTTATTTGTTTTGTGTAATACTCCTTTCAAATGAGTATTTGTAAATTAGCTAAATTAAGAACCAGCCATGGCCTTTTATTAGTAAGAATATGGATACATTGAAGCCAGTGGAAACATTTGAACCCATATCAGAGTGGTATTCCAGAATATAGGAGAGACAGTAGAATTTTGTCTGAAGACATCTTGCTTCTCAACAACAAAGCATCCAAATTGTGAACACTGAGCCAAACATCAGTTTGAGTAGCGCTGTTTACACCTGAACAAAGCTGTAATTCATGTGTTGTTGTTGGCATGTCTGAGGTTATTATTAAGTCCCATGAGTCTGTTTTTCTGTGCTGCTCTGAAGGCATTTTTCTCTTTCATGAACTGAATCTGTTGCCAAAGAAAATAGGAGTCGATTTCCGTCAAATTATGCAGTCAAAGACAGAATCCTTTATTAAAACCTAAAGCGGACTCAGTCTTTGGAGCCAGACAACTTAAGTTCTTTATGACATTTAGATTTTCTGGTTGATGATAATGGCAAAGCAACAAACTCACCCAAACCTTTAAAGTAATTTTTTATTTCTATTTTGTCAAATTGTGCATGTGTCTCTGTGTGTCTGTTTGTGTAGGATATGAAGGATCAGTTATCCAGCCCTTCTGCTGTGGCTCAGGCTGAGAAAAAGAACAGACAGGTACATTTTTGCTTCCACCGTTTTAAATATTTTGTGCTGGCCATGACTCGCACTTAATAATTCTCCAATCAGAGTCAAAACGTATTTTTCAGTACCAATACTATGGCACTTTAATAATAAAAAAAACTAAGCTAAATGTAACGCTTTGGACATTTTTCAAGGCATGAACAGGCCAAATGAACCGTGCTAACTCTGGTGTTTGTTAGTATGTTACCATGTGTGTCTCTCCAGGCTTTAATGGCCTCAACAAGCCAGGACAGGTCTACAGGACTCGAGGCTCATCTTGTGTCAGCAAACTCCAGATACATCGAGGAGCAACAGGAGCAACAGCAGGTAGAGGAAAATCTGGATGAAAAAATAAGTCAGAGGATGAAGAAATAGATCAAACATATAGAAAAACAAAGGAGGGTTGGGATCCTTGATTAATTAAATCAATGATTAATGAAAGGAACCAGAGAAAAATAATGTCCCAGTTAGGTTCCGATTATAAAAATTTTGAGTTTCAGAAATTCAAAATTCAACTAAATTTCAATTCAGTCAACTTTATTATTCCAGTAGGGCAATTTAAAATGTTTCTATGAAAGTACAAAAAGGGCCACAATTATTTACTGAAATAGAGTAGAAGTAGACTGAGTTTGCACCACTTTTTGAGTAAAATATAATAAAGAATGACAGTTAAAGGTTTGAAAAAAAAAGTTAGTGTAGATTGTTTCTGCTCTCACTTTATGGATTAAGTGAAAAAACATCAGAGGCAGTTGCTAATCTTCTATTGTTAATTTCTTGTCTTTTTTATCATCCCTGTTGGTTTTGCTTCCTGTGCTGTGGGTTCACAGTGGTGTCGGGTGATACAGGCGTATCATCGCACATCCTGTCAGGTTGTGGCTTAACCAGGAAATTAGCATCGGAAATGAAGCTTATAAACACCTCTGATTGAATGAAAGAAGCAACAGTTATTTCCGTTTTTACCATTTTGAGACATTTGTCTTGTTGGGGTAGATACTTTATACTCTTTTTCTCCTCCTACCAGTATCAAATCCCAGAAAAAACAGGACAAAGACAAAACAGACAGTGCCTAACAGATTAATATTTTACAAGAAGAGATTTTAAAGATGAATGGATCAGTCTGCACAACTTTAGTCTTTCTTAGAGCAGAAAAGCATGTTTCAATACAGACTGAGATTTACGATAAACTTGCTTTGAAGTCGGTCAGTTAAAAGTTTGGGTAAATGTAACATCCTCTGAAGCATAATCTGTGTGTGTGTGTGTGTGTGTGTGTGTGTGTGTGTGTGTAGCTGATCATTCAGGAGCAGGATGAGCAGCTGGAGCTGGTGTCAGGCAGCATCAGAGTCCTCAAAGACATGTCCGGACGGATCGGAGATGAGCTTGACGAGCAGTCTGTGTGAGTAAACGGAGTTCTCTCTGGTCAGGAAGTCACAGGGGATTCCAACTGCCAACCCTTTCATGGTTTGGTTTTGTACTGATGAGCACTCATTGTGTTCACTTCCATGTTTTCCTGCTAATTCAGCATATCTTCACCCGTCTAGAGTTTGCATGCAGCATGCATTTGGTCGCTGTTGTATCTGACTGCTTTGTTGTTTTGTTTGTTTGTTTTAGCATGTTGGGTGATTTCGGAGACGAGATGGATCAGACATCGTCCCGCATGGACTCTGTTCTGAAGAAGCTGGAGAAAGTGTCCCACATGACGAGCAGTAAGCGAACACACACACACAGGCTTCTACATCTCAGCCCTCAGTGGAGTTCTGTGTTTTTGCCCTTTTTAAAGTAGGAAAATATAGTCTTTATAGTCAGGAAAAAAAATCCCTCCAATAACTTCCTGTAGCCGCAGTTGTTTGAGCTTAAAGTCACTAAAGACCAAACTCCCCCACCAGTGTCTTACTGTTCAATGGATTGTTTTTTCGGGGTGCATCTGAGTGTTTTGTCTGAGGGCTGTTTTTGTTGCGTCCCTCAGGTCGAAGACAGTGGTGTGCCATTGGCGTGCTGGTCGCCATCATGATTGTGGTCCTAATCCTTTTCCTCGCTCTCTGAGGTCTGTGACCTTTGAACCCTCTATTTTACTCATCGACTTCTCCGCGGCAGGATGAGAGGACAGAAGGAAACGGGAGGTCTCTCCCCTTTCCCCTCAGTCACTCCCCTCTCCTCACTCCAAAGAGAAACTGGTGACTGGCAGAGAAAAGTCAGGATTTCATCCTCTGCCCCGTTTTTACCAAAATTTTGTGTGAAGAAAAAGGCAAGTGTCTCTCAGCAGCAGCGCTTCGCTTGCGCAAAACTCCGACGTTATTCTGTATTTTACGTCTGTGCATTTCTGTTGTGGTGGGTACGCGATGGGAGGGACGCAACGGGAAACTTCTGCTGTTGGAGTAAAACACAAATCTGTAAGTTTAACAAATCGAGTTGCAATGGTGCTTACTTTACGTCGCTCAAGATTTTTGCAGGGTTTGAAATATAGACAGTGGTCGACAGTGCTGAATCACTTTGCCATCGGAGATATTGACATTTTCAACTTGTGAAACCCGATTATCTGCAGGTTTAAAGGGTACTAAAACCAATTTATCAAATAAAGTAAAACAAATACTTGTGTTTTAAGCTATCAGGAGAATCTCGGGAGGGGCGAGTTGCCTTAAATATATTTTTATACGATTTTGAAATGTGCAGTATGTTCATGTGCCTACATGTGAATCAGGATGGAAAATAAATTCCTAATTTCAAACTGTCAGCCAAACCAAGGCTGAGGATCGCAGATTTTCTTCATAGTCCAACACAACAGCTGCAGATTTCGCTGGTGAACGCATCTCGGCTGAACAGGAAGCGCTGGGCACAGCTGGAAACAGCTGCTGCTTTAAAGTGTGCCCTCTCCAAAAGAAAAAAAAAAAAGTTTAGGCTCAGGCAAGCCATGAAAGACAACCACCGTCCTGTTTTTAATAATCGGTGGCACACTTTGTCAGAAACGATTGGTGTTCATTTCCTGCCACAGGTGAGAGCAGGTCTGCATCCGGCCTTCGCCGCGCCGCAGACGTCTCGGCGCGTGATTGGCCAGGGCTTCGTTACTCTCGCCGGATGATGAGAGACAGCCTTGGCTCTGAGCAAATAGCTTTGCGTTTTCATTGAAAAGCTTTAGCTAATGAGGAGGAGTAGTTGCTGGGCAAGATGCGTCCGCATTCGGCCCATGTCTGGGCTCACGGCTCCCTCTGCTGGAGCCCGGCGCACACGCCGTTTCTTTATATCTCACCAAGCAACACTAAGCTGTCCGAGTGCTGCATATCAGATCAAAATGCTTTAATAATTTCTTTGTGTAATTGGATGTTAGTACGTTAAAAATCGTCTTTTGTTGGCTCCGTCTCATTATGATCCTGTGAAATGTAAAGACAGCTTGTCATATTTTTAGTTGTTCTCCCCTTCATAAGTAATCAAAGAGTGTTTTTGGCCTGCTTTTATATATTCTGTCCCCCATGCGTCGGTGGAGCAAATGAACTGAAAGTGTTGAAAGAGCCTCTGTGGTTTTCCGCGCATTTCGTGGCACCGACTGCCAGCCCGGTATCAGGGAAGTTAAAAGCAGCCGTAAATTTTTAACAGAGCTTCTTAAGCCCGAGAAGGATTCCCTTTATCCCATGTATTCCTCTCTTTGACTTCTCCTCTCGGTTTTTTAGTGCAGTCCTCCAGAGGATGGAAGCAAGGAGGGCCCAGCCGCTGCGCTCATGACAACTTTAACGTTTTATTTCAATTTTACAGCTCAACATAATGTGAAGTGCATGTTTTATACATGACATTTACTGAAAAGCCGCACTAAAACAACCCCTCTGACAGGCATCCTTAAGCCGCTCGGCGCGGTTTAGGTATTGAGGCATCTGTTGTTCAGCAGACCTTGATTTCCGTGTCTGTCAGGGGGTCTGAGGAGATAAAGACCAAACAATGAACTCTGTTGAGAATAAGAATAGTATTTTTGCAGCATTGCATAATTAAAACGTTGAGGATTATTCAAACTAACACTTGCAGCTCAGATGTTTTTTTTTTTTCTTACTTTATGACAGTATTTAAATTCTATGGGCAAGTGAGTCGAAACAATGAATGGGTGAATCAGAAAAAAGCAATTAAAACAAATAAGTGCAGGTAAATATTTTTCCCTCTGAAAGTGATTGTGTTTCCCCCTGTTTAGCTTTAACTCTAGTTTTCAGTGCACGATCAGGATCCTTATCTTTTAGTTCTGCAGGCTACATTTCACACACAACTGTTTGCTGTTCTGCCCTTTTAAGCCAGACAGAACGTCATTGAAGTGCTTTTCTTTTTTTTTCCACTAAAGAAAAAGGGCAATAGTGACGGCAAACTATTGATCTGAAATTCCCTGCTTTACCACATGTGAAAGTTTCATATCTACAACACGAGTCAGTCAGCAGGTGTTGGGACTCCAAAAGTGCTTAAAAGTCCGATACGCAGTTGTCCCGATGTCTCCTACGTCTACTTTGTTGGATTTTAAGTTTCATTATTTTGCATTTGTTCTTTGTGAAGAGATTGAATTGCTTTGTAAGCATCTTGTTGTAGACTGAGCTGTACAGCCGAATGAATACAGTATTTTGAATGTTTCCTGTGTGATATTTTCTCTTCTTTTTCCGTCTCTTTTTTTTTTTTAAACATACAAACTCTTGGAAACCTTACACATGTGAGCTCTGATCTGTTCACTTTGGGCTTTGAGTTAAAAGCATGTTTAGCATTGAGCTGTTCAGTCAAATTGATCCAAGTAACATTACAGAGTTTAAAGTACCTTTTATAGACACTGAAACACATTCAAATGGACCAAACTCTTCCTCTAAAACAAAGATAGACCCTACTTCTCAGAGAAATGTCATTTTCTTACACTGTTCATTAATTATCTTTCCAGCCAGATCAGCAGCTGTATGCCATAAAACTAACCCATCTGCAAACACCAACAGGAAAAGACATTTGTCACCGTGCTCTTAATGAACACCGGCCTTAGCAGCTCTGCTGTAACGCGGGTGTTGTGGATGAAGCATTTTGCCATTTAGCTGTGATTTGGCTCACTCCCAGTTTTACCAGGAGGATAAATGAATTCCACTCGGTTGCAATGTTCAGCATTCACTTCCGACTCTTTGGGCCACAAGTTTTTTTGTATTTGTCAAAGAAGTAAAGGCTCATAAAGCGCAAAAAACAGGTGCTTTGGTGCATAAGATCTTTCGAAATATCAAGGGGCCTTTTTGAGAGACACTGATAAAGATTGGTGTGTGAAGGTGTGTGAATGGAAGGTTTGGACTTGCAGAGTGATTCACTTTGAGTAATTGATATATGAGAAAAGCACAGTGTGTGGGGGATTTTGCTGAATTTGAATGTAAATGCTCAGGTTGTAACATCACACTTCCTGTGCTTGTATGGAGTGGAGGATGGAGCTCACAGCGGGGGAGAAAGATGAGGTTTAGCCTGTGATTCTGATGCTGGAACCGGAAAACTGGGGCGGCTTTTGTGAAACAGGAAGCTGATCAGATCATCTGGATACATAACTTTTTTAAAAAGTGGAATTATTTCCTGAAAGGTCTAAATCATCACATGTGAGGTTAAATAGTTCCTGCTAGGCTTTGGGGGCATTTCTTCCTCCTTTGTTTTCTGGTTTTTATGGTCTGCAGAGTTAGAGGGTTCCCACCAAAAAGGCTTTTTGGTCTTCCACAGAGGGCCGTGCTCCCATACTGGCCAAAATGTGCCTTTAGTGATCCAGCTTTTGTTTTTTATTTTTATTTTTTCCTGACTTGTCTACATCAGCTTCTGAATCCTGGTTGGAGCTTCCTCTCAAAGCCCGTAAACCGGTGTTTCTGAATAGTCTTTAGGTAGACTTTAACTGGACAATAGCTAAACCGGTCAGTATGTTGTAGGTTTTTTTGTCTTCTTTCGGGATCTTCTTTGGGATTTTATACAATCACCTCCTCTCTGGTCTCTGTCTTTATGTCCCAGGGGTCTTGTGGCTTGGCTTGATCAGACGTACCTTTTTGAACTTAAGCGGTGTGCCGTGGTCGTTTAAGAGGGAAGACACTACCTACTGGGAGCATTTAAGTAAAAAAAAAAAAACCCACACACACTACTCGTGCTTGTGTTGAACTGTAGGTCTTAACAGGCCACGCTCCCCATCAGAAAGCCGACAATGATCAGTTAACCTTGTTTCTATGGAAACGCCGAGAGTGGAGTTGGGTTTTCGGCAACCGCTTCAGCATTGTGGATTAGTTTTTGTTAACAGATCCAAACATGTGACGTGGCCGGCGGCGCTGTTCATCAGAGGCAGTAGTGGCCTAAAGTTCAGGCTTTTTCTTCTGATGTCCAGATACCATAACCGTAGAAAATTAACATTTTCCATAAAGCCGATCTTTGAATCACAAGGTTATTCTCAGTAAGGCAAAAAAATACACAAGAAAAATAAAAATGTAGAGAAAAACAGAGCCACGGAGTCAGTTCTGTTTGTTACAAACCTTTTATTAAGATATTCAGATTTTTTCCTCATTTTTAATCAGTCTGGTTTAATTTTTCTCTTTACAGTAGTTCATGTGCAATTTATTACTGGGTCACAGTTAGGAATTCACAAACTTATTGGCACTTGGAAAACATGAGGGAAACATTGGCATGTACACGGGGCATGGCAGGGGGGGGGGGGGGGGGGGGGCAGCGGGCAGTCAGTCGGATGGAAGGGTCAAGGCGTGTGTAGGGGACTGGGATGTGTGTTTTATGTGTGTGTGTGTGTGTTTAGGGCTGGGCGTTTTCTTTGACAGCAGTAGATGCTACTGCATTACCTCTGTGTATTTATTTTTTTTGTCATCCTCCCCCCCCACAAAAAGAAAGTTCCAAAAGTTGGTAATTAGCTTTTCGTTTTTCTGGGTTATGAAGAATAATAAAGAATAATACCTCATGCTGCGAGTGCACACCTAACAATCAAACTTTGATAGTGCTTCTATTTCATAATGTACAGTTTATATATTTATATATTTATAGTGGAAAACGGGAAAAGAAAAGAGTTCTGCGGGACCTTTTTTTAATTTATTTTTTTACCCAACGACACCAGAGACAAGGAGAGGGAGTAAAAAATAGGCGGCGACGGTTGCTATGACCATAAGCAAGCCCCGCCCACTGCTCTGTAGAATGATTCTGAGGTAAGACTGTTGACATGGACTCTCTGCTCGCGTCCCGTTTTCAGTAAAAACCCTGCACTGTGTGTGTATTTCGATGGCCTGGGAGCGCTCTGCTGAGTCTCCCACAGATTGTTTCCTGAAAAAACCAAAAAAAAAAAAAAGAGTATGAACCTGCTTTGTAACGGCGGCCGCAGCAGTTCAGGAGCTGCTGGCAGCGCTGAGATATCTGTGGAGATTAAGTTCTGCTATGGCTGAGAGCTCCCGAGGTAAACTGGTACTTTTTTCTTTTTTTTTTTTCTTCTTTTTTTTTTATATTCTCAAAAAAACTGCATCGGCGACACAGAGCCGCACCCGCGGCGGTCAGCGCGTGGCCGGTCAGCGGGTGTGGGTGCGAGCTCCGGTATCTCAGAGGTTTGCCCGTTTTTTGTTTTCATGTATACATAAACAGCGAATATATAAATATGCCAGCGTGAGTATTGTCTCTGGTGTGTGGGGATTTGGAAAACAGCGGAGTAAAGGGGTTCTGGATAGAAGACTACAGAGCGGCGGCCAGCAGTAAAGAAGCTCCGTGATGCTTGAGGAGTGCACGGGAAGCTGGGGGAAAAAAAAGGGGGAGAGAAGTCGGTCGAAGACTCTGAGGGAGGAAGAGATAGAGCAGGAGAGGCGAGGCAGAGAGGGAGACATGAACCTCAAAGCTTTGCCTCGGGATTATGCTCTTCAGTCAGAAGGGGTTTGCATCTTCGTCCAGCTCTCCTGTTTTTGCCAGTCTTTAGACACACGATGACACAGTTTTTCTCCTCTAGTCCTCTGGTTCTCTGCAGGGTCCCTACACAGGAAGAATCCACCCTTTGCTCTCGTACCTTAAACCCGTTGGTAAAAAAACATGGTTCTTAATATTCTTTTGTTCCTAGGTTGTGGCCATTTTTACTTTCTATTGTTACAGCTGCTTTTGGCTGCCCCATTTTTTGTTTAGATTTTTTTTAAAAGCTTGAAGTGACTTTTTGAGCACAGACCTGCACTAGACTGGATATTTTTTAATGTTTCAGTAATCGTAAATTGTTCCCTCACCTGAGTTTCCTTCAGCTTTTACAAATTTGAACATTTAGAAAAAAACAAAACAACAAACAAACACATTTGACATGGGAAGTGAGTACTTTTGTATAAATATGAAACAATTATTCTGTGAGAATCTTGACCAGAGAACCAAAGACTCAAAGGTTTGTTTGATGTGATCACAACTTTGGCTCAGCAATGTCAATTTCCAGCTGAGTAGGAACCCTGTTCAAATGAACACCACCAGCCTCCGCCCACACGCCCCCCCCCTACCATCCCACCACCAGGCGGGGGTGAGGGGGGGGGGGTCTCGTGCTCATCGGTGCACCCTCATCTTTCTTACAGTAAGTGACAAATCTTTGAAAAGTAGAGAAAATGAAAAGGCAACAATAGTACAAAAAGTAAAAACAAAAAGATCAAAGGAACTTTGTCGAAAAAAAAACAACAGAAAAAAACTTGCAAAAGTTCACATTTCCCACCCCACAAATGACCAAAGGTCCCACATCTGACACTAGCACCCGACCCACAGACAGGAAGTGACACACTGAGCGCGCTCAGGAAGGTGCAGAGGGCGGCGGCTCCACGGGACAGTCGCACACTCGCCCAAAGGTGCTTTTTTTTTGTTTTGTTTGTTTGATTTCGACTACTTGGCCCACTGCGGGTCACTTTTCTTCCTCTCTGTGGATCGGCAGTTGGGAAGAACTCAGGCGGACTGAGTCATGGATGGAGAAGAGCAAAGAAAAACATCTGCTGTGCTCTTTGCTTTTTTTGGAAGTCTTGTCAGTAACTTTCAATCTGCTGACAGCTTTATTTGGCATCAGGGACCCTAAGCTGTGGACATTTTTGGAAGTCAGATTTGTGGAATGAGCAGCAGAGCCTCCGGTGGCCTGCTGTTAAGGTGCTCTGTTGGATACAGTGATCGAGACTCTTCTGTTACAATCGTGGCTTGTGGGGGATCACTGCTTCCGGCCACCTGGTGGTAGTGGCAGCTACTGCAGGAGTGGAGCCCCCCCCAGCCCCCCCAGCGCTGCAGTAGCTGTACTTTGTGACCAGGTGGCGTCTGTAGAGGAAATTTTAACATTCAAGCAGCATTAGCTTATTATTTGTTCAAAAAACAAAGAAAAAAAAAAAGAAAAAAGGCTGGTCCCAGGACCAGGTCAAGTAAACTTTCTTTTGGTCAATTTCTCGTGTGTATATAAATTGGCACGTACAAGACAGCAGAGTCCATTTTTTAGTCGGAGAGATTTCTTTAAACAGACATTCAGACTTGTAGCCTTAAAATGAAGTGAGCCTGACAGCCTTTTGTTTGCCTGAATTGTCCATCCATTTACCAGTCGGCCCCCGATCCTGTCCCAATATCAGCCGCAGCACAGTACACGTCTTAACCACTGGTCCAGCGTCAC